CTCCCGCAGCCCACCCGTGTCCTGTGGTTCGGGGCAGGGAGCCGGGACGGCCCACGGCTGCCCGGCCTTTGTCGTAGACGTCAGTATATCCAGGTGCTCGTTTTCCCGTGCCCTCATCTGAAACAAAGTAGGAGATGGTGACGATGTCACCGGCAGGTCGGCCAGAATACACTGAGGGTAGTTCATTATCAGGTTGCAGGAGGTGGTGTTGGGGCCGGTGTGTGGCCTCTTAGCAAATCCCTAAATGGCATAGAGTAAGGAAACCATCTCTAAGAGGACAAACAATCCAAAGACCCCCTTCGGCCTTGGAATGTAATGGGTGTTTTATGTATGACTTCTAAAGTGTCACTTGTCGTAGCCAAAGTGTAATGTTTTTGCGGGCAACTTGAAGTAGAAACAATAGGTGCTTTGTGTCTCCTCTGCACTTCATTCCTGGACGGAGGTCAGAGAGGCAGGCTTGTCTGGGGCCGTCTGTGGGAAGTCAGCTGTGATGTGGAAGCCACCAAGGCATTTGCAGCTTGCGTTTTTTTGCATATTTGATTGCATAAAATAAGGAGCATGTTATCCGCCTTAGAAACGAGACCGTGAGTTCTCTGCCGTGAATGCCCATTGTTTCCCAAGCCACGCGGCCCACCAGGGAGGCAGCTTCAGGGAGCAGGTCCGCAGAGCCACTCAGCCTGGGGAGGAAGAGTCTCAAGGTCATACCTCAAGGTCATATGTAGTCCTGGCCACCACCGGAAATTCCTCTGGGGGCATTTTCAGCAGGATTTTTGTCACATCTGTGTGGGTTTCCTGGGGGCCTTGCTACAGGAAGTTTCCCGCCAGCGGTCTCTGCGTCAGTCGAGGCATTTTCTTCTGGCAGGGCAGGTGCACAGACTCTGGGTGACGTGATGGGGGCGGGGCGAGGCCTGCTCCAATGGGAGGAAACGGCTCCCGTGACGTGGGCCTTCTTCAGAGTCCCGTCGACCTTGGCGTACTGTGCGTTTAGGAAGCTGCAAATGATGGGCCTCCTCTTCTCCCTCACCTGTGCAGGTGTGTGTCCTCGTGGGGAACGAAGCCCTCCGCGTGGCTATGGCTGTTTCTCCAGTGGATCTGTTAAGAACTGGTCCTCTGCGTGACGACAGCTCGGACAGGCCAGGGCCCTCTCTCTGGTCCGTCCCTTCTCCGTTGTTGATCGTATCCGCTCCCCTCAGGCCCCTGCAGACTCCGAAGGCAGGGAAGCCTGTTACGGGGGAAGTTTATTCCGCCCTTACAGAACCTGCATGGCGTGTGGTTGCACGTGAGTGAGCGTATGTGGTCCTGTCCGGTCCTACTCGACGCCCTTCTTGGAGCGTCACTGGGTTCGTCAGCATGTTAGAAACCACACGGAGTTTTAATCGTTAAAAATAAACAAGCCTGTCCGACTAGACTGAGGACCGTATTCCTCAGACTTTTAGTGTCACGCTTGATAAGTCTATTTGGGAAAACAATGGCTTGGAATGTTTTCTTTCCAGTAGAATCTGCATTCCTGTGTCTTATTTGGGTTTAAGTGGAAAGGCAAAGTTGTTTTGTTCATAAGCATTTTATTTTAGCACAGTTTAGATTTGGATGTACAGATTTAGATTAGATTTAGGTTAGCAGATTTGGATTTCGGTTTAGAAAAGCAACCCAGATACAGGAAGTACCAGGAGCTCGCCTGCGCCCACACCCAGCTTCCCTTATTGACATCTGGTAGGAGTGTGCTGCACTTGCCATGGCTCATGAACCGGTACTCACCTTGGTTTCGATGACCTTGACAGTTTAGGGGGGGAAGACCAGTCGGTATTTTGTAGATGCCTCTCGACTGGGGTTTGTCTGGTGTTTTCCTCGTGGTGATTAGGCTGGGGTTGTGGGTTGTGGGGAGAAAACCACAGAGGCACAAGTGCTGTTTCTGTCCTGTCACGTCAAGGGTCCGTGCGATCGTCGTGACTCCCCGCGGCTGATGCTTGCCTTGATCACCTGGCCGAGGCGTGTGCCAGGTTTCTCCGTGTGCAGTTACTCTATCCCCGCATCCACCCTGTCCCTTTGCGTGATGTCGCCCCGTGCGGCCACACGTAGAGTCGGGAGCTGTGCTCCAACTCCTGGGGGCGGGGAGCAGCTATGGAATATGCCTTTTCTCCACCATTTATTTATCAGTTCCATCATTTACGTATATCATTGTGAGCTTATGGACACATTTCATTTACTTACTGATTCCATCATTTATGTATATCGGTGTGAGCTTATGGACACTTATTTTATATTTTTGATTATGGTCCCTATGACTTTGTCCCTCAGACTGTCCCAGCTTCAGCCATTGGGAGCCCATTGTGTTGCCGTGACACATCCCCAGCAGTGTAGCTGTTTATTTCGAGTACTTCCTTGCTTTGTGGCACTACCGAGTGTTCCAGGATCATCCGGAACGTTTCCTGTGCAAGCCCTTCAAGCCGCCCTTGAGCCCTCATTCCTTTGTTGCAGCATGGCCTCAGAAAGCAGGCTCCGGGCACTTGGTGTGCTTTGTGGCGAGCCGGGGCACCCTCGCCTGTGTGCGCCAGCCGGCAGGCAGAGCAGGGGAACGGCCTTGCGTGTGTTGTCCCTCGAAGACGCGTGTGTCTGTAAGCCGTGCCGAGTGTGGTGGGCTGCACCTATATTGAGCTAATTGTTGAGTTTGTGCTGATGTCTCCAGCTCTAAGCCAGGACCTCGTGGATCATTCCAGCCACCTCCCCTCGCTTGTCTGGGACCTTCCACTCTGACAGCGAGAAGCCTGACTCCCACCTTCCACAGTCCGCTCGCTTGTTTGTTCTAGTACACGGATGCATAGTAGTTTCAGAATTGTTAACCCACACTCGAGCGGAGACAGCTTTGTCTGCTAGGGTCCGGGGTTTATGGACAGTTCCATAAGTTTGCCTGCGGTCTTACAGGTTCCACTCATTTCCAGACTTACTCAGGTCAGGGCTTTTCCCCACCCCTGCGGTGAGGTCATTTGATACTCTTGTAGTAGAGTTCGAGTTTCTCCTCCCAGCCTGCATTCCGTGCCAGGATGCCCTTCTTCCTAGAGTATTGTTTTAAAAACGTGCATGCATCCAGGTTCACTCCCTGTGCTGTGAAGTTTTGTTTCATGGGTTTTGATAAATGCATAGCGGCACGCATCTGTCCTTACAGTATTCTACAAAAGTACTTTCCAGGCCCTCACACACCCCCTGCGCCTCACCTGCTCAGCCCTCTTCTCCCTCCTCCCTCCCCATCTCCTGGTAACTGCTCATCTGCCTACTGATTCTACAGTCTGCCAATTCCAGAATGTTCTATGATTAGAACCATACAGTATGTAGCCTTAAAAAACAAACAAACAAAAAAACCCTTTTGTTTCTTAGAGGTTTAGGTTCATAGCAAAATTGAGGGCCAAGTACAGAGTTCCCGTATCCGCCCCGTCCCCACACAGGCACAGCCTCCTTCACTATTGACATCATGCACTGGAGGGGCACCTGTTACATGGATGAACCTGCAGTGACACATCATAATCACCCAAAGTTCATGGTTTACTGTGTCAGCTCAGGCTGCTGGAACAAAACACCACAGACCGGGTGGCTTAAACAACAGGACTTTATTTCTCATGGTTCTGGAGGTGGGAAGTCTGAGATCAGGTGCCAGCATGCTCAGGTTCTGGTGAGAGTCCTCTTTCCGGCTTAAGACGCCTGCCTTCTCACTGGGTCCTCATAATGGATGAGAGACGGTGGGGGAGGGAGAGGGAGGTACCCACATTGTCCTCTCTTATAAGGCCACGGTCCTACTGGATCAAAGCCCACTCTTTTTTTTTCTTAAGTTTATTTATTTTGAGAGAGAGAGAGAGAGCATGAGCAGGGGAAGGAGAGAGAGAGAGAGAGAGAGAGAGAGAGAGAGAATCCCAAGGAGGCTCCACACTGTCAGCACAGAGCCCCACACGGGGCTCAGGAATCGTGAGATCACAACCTGAGCCGAAACCAAGAGTCGGACGCTGAACCGACTGAGCCCCCCAGAAAGCCCCAGTCTTTATGACCTCATGTAACCTTCATTACCTCCTAAAGGCAAACGGTCACATTAAAGGTTAGGGCTACCCCTGAGGGATTTGGGGAGCAGGAACACAGTTCAGAGCACCCATCTTAGGGCTCCCTCTTGCTGTTTATACTTCCTGTGAGTTTTGACAAATGTAGAATGACGCATATTCACCATTGCAATTCCGTTCTGAATAGCTTCACTGTCCTAAAAAATGTTCTATGGCTTTGCCTGTTCATTCTGTTTACCCCTTCTCCACTCCCCTCATGGGCAATCACTGATCTCTTTTACAGTCTCCATAATTTTACGTTTTCCAGAATGTCACGTCGTTCGAGGCACACGGTATGTAGCCTTTTCGGATCTGCTTCTCAGGAACGTGCACTTACGGTTCCCCCACATCTTTTCGTGGCTTCATAGCTCCCGTTTTTTCAGCCCCGAATAATAGTTTATTGTCTGGATGTGCCCACTTAAATAAACTGGCATATTTCATTCACCGAGGCCCCATTCTCCCGTGATCCAGAAGGAGACACGAAGGAGGTCTAGCAGGGCGGTCACATGCCTGTGCGTCAGCACCTTGCAGACTGCGAGTCAGTGGGTGTGTGTGCTTGACCAGGTCACACTATCTCTGTGCCTTGGTTTCCTCGTTTGTAAAACTGGAATAACCCCAGACTGTTAAAGTCCCAAAGGCACCGTGTGGAGAAATGAAATGATGCATGGAAGTGATGACCGTGATGCCTGATGCACGTTAAGCAACCAAGATGTGTCTATACGTACATACGTGTCTACATGTACATACGTATGCGCATATAGAATATGAGCGTGTGCCTGTGACTAGCACTGTTAAGGAGAGAGAATGACACTTAGCCTTGGATAATATATTAGCAAGTTGGAGAGAGAAGCTAATACATATGGCAGACTTGGAAAGCCACACTCCCCCAGAGAATGTCCTAAAAAGAATAAATGAAGATCAACATACCGAGTCTCCCCAGTGCCTGGCAGACACAGTGCTCGGTTGCGATGTTTGGAGGGATGATGTGTCTGTCGGGCTTAAGCCCACATGGGTTTTGGAGCCCGCGACCTGGGTGGGGGGTGCCGGAGGCAGAATGGCGTAGACCAGTGGCTCTCAACCCTCCCTGTAGAGGAGAATCCCCGGAAAGGCCCGTGGAGATGCACATTGCTCTGTCTGTTCCTCCTCCCCGCCCTCCCCCAGAGTTTCTGATTTTGAAGGTCTGGGTTACCAGCAAGTCCTCCGGTGGTGCCGATGCTGGTGTTGTGGGGAGCGCGTGTTCAGGGCCGATGACCACTTGCAGCAGAGACTCAGACAGGTCAGCAGCTGATGGGTTCAGAGGACCGGGGGGGACCTCACAATGCCAGGGGCTGATGGTGGGCATGAAGGGCTGGGGGGGTTCAGACCCCTGGTGAAGAAGGGGGAATGCAGGGGGGAGGCAGGATGCGGGGGGAGACAGCGCTTCGGCCAGCGGGGGCTTGTGGGTGGTCTTCGGGAGAGGGAAGGGTGGGCAGTGACTGGCTGGCAGTCAGTTACCCCTCCTTCCTTTGCTCTCCTGGAAGGGGTGAAGGCGGGGAGCGTAGGGACCCGCACAAGTGCGCAGCCCCCAGCCCAGCGGGGGGACGTCTCTGGACGGCAACCAGAGCTCATGTTCACATGCGACTGCCTTCCTTTTCGGCCCTTTCTGCTCCTGTGTCCACACCTCCTGCGCCACAGTGCCTGCTCTGTGTGACCCCCACAGCGCTTAACAAGTAACTTGCCTGATAAACATTCTGAATTACTTACATTGAGCAATGCTTGTCATTGACCAGATGTGCTTAAAATAGTTGGCTTCATAGGACTTGACCTTCACATTAGGAAAACAAAGATTGTTTTTCTTTTCTTTTATTGTGCATTGTGATTTTCTTAGCAAATTCCTATTTCAAGTTTGCAGCTGTTCAGTGTTTGTAAAATCATATTCAGCCCATCCTGTGTGTCGGGAAGGTCCATGACGGGCTTCAAAAATATCTTTTGTTATGTCCCGTTGTCCCCCGTTTGAATCCTGATTTGGGGCATCTCAGAGAGTATCCAGTCTAGAGGAGAAAGAACACCGACTGACGAGGGACCAGGAAATTGGCATCTGACCCACTTTAAGAGTAGCGCCCAGGGAGGGGAATGAGGGGCCGGGCTGCTGGGCGTGCAGGGCAGTGGGAAGCCACTGTGTCCAGAAGTCAAGTGGAAATCATGGTCTAGGAGGAAAGGAAGTGAGAGGTCAAGCCTGCAGTTTGTGCTAAGGATCACATCTTTGGAGAGGCCGTAAACAGGAAACAGAGCCAAGCCCAGAAGCCAGGAAGAGTGGGGAGAGTCTGGGAGCGACCAGGCCAGGAGGTGACCAGTGGTCCAGGGTGAAGGTGGTACACAGTGGGTGGGGCAGGCGAGCGTTCATGTGACCCCTGGTCTGCCCAGGACTCGGGGTGGGGGCTGGGAGGACTCTGTGTTGAAGGGTTAGATGTCAGCCATCGTGTGGCGCATTCTGGGGTGCCGTCCAATCGGGGGCCACACTGAACAGCGGACAGTAAAGCAGGGGCCTTTGGCTTTTGTGTGCTGCTTCTGAAGGTTACCGCCGTCCCTGGCACTTCCTGAAAGACTAAGTTGATCATACAGTTTCTATGCTCGCGCCTTGTCTGTCCCTTTAGTCCATATGGGTTAATGCCCAGGGCTTTAAACCTGACACAGGACAGTGACTCCCACTTCCCGGACAGGTAAAGTGTCCCAGGAGTCCCAAATCTATTTCTTCTCACCCTTCCCAGCAAGTGGATGCGGGAGGGTACGGTGTGTAATTTTATGCAGTGAAAACAACTACAGTTTCCTAGTCTGTCCAAAGTCAGTGACCCAAGCGGCAGAACCCTTCTCCCTTCCAACGTGGGACCTCTTTACCCTCAGACCGCTGCTACAGAGCCCTCCAGAATCCGAGACTGGGCCTTTGCAACAGAGCTCCCAGCCACCTACCCCCAGCTGTCCGGGAGGGACGCACCAGTCAGCAGCCGCCGCCCACAGCTGCGACGCCTCTGGTACAGGTTTGTGATCCCTTTTAGGGCTAGCGGACCTCCATAGTCAAAATGGAATCGTCGCTCTGTACAGTGAGCTTTAAGCAATGTTACTTGAAAAAAAAATCATTGAGGAATAAAACAAAAGAAGATGTGGAGGGATAGAGAGAGAAAAAACATCTTGGTTCACGAGCCCAGGATTCAGAAAATGCTTGTGGACATTTAAAATAATAATGATGATGAGGTATGGGGAGGGGGACGGGTTCGGAGCTGACGACCAAGAAAGAATTCTTGAAGATGTGTTTGGTGCAAAAAAGGTGATTTTAGTAAAGCACAGGAACAGGACCCGTGGGCAGGAAGAGCGGCACTGGGGTTGTGAGGCGTGACGGGTTATACACTATGGAGTCGGGGGAGGTACAGTCAGGAAGACATTTCTTAAGGGATTTCCATATGCTAAAGTAGACTCCCGGGATAGCAGAGGCCTAGCTATGGTCAGGCTAAGGTGGTTTTTGCCTCTAGCAAAGCATTAGCATTAAGACACGGGGGAGTTTCTGGACTTTAGGTTATTGGTAAGATTGTCCCTTTTTTGTAGTTGTACTAAGGTGTTTGTGAACTGATGTGAACTCTTATCAGTTTAACTGTTTGTTTTCTGTCCTTTCCTTTGCTCTTGGGCACCCAGAAGTGCATGAAGAATGTCACACATATCCCACGGGGTGTGGGGGGGTTATGTGTGCCTCGACATAGCTCACTGACCCCAAGCCACCTAAGTGTTGGCCCGTTGGCTTGTAGGTCAAATTATGAGACTCCGACCAATCCAAAAGTTCCTTGCGTTTGTGTCAAAGAGTTCTTTTCAAACGACAGAAAATACACTTACTTTAGACTAAGTTGCTCCCAGTGATTAGCTTTCCGGGGAGGGGTCCTGGGTGCCGTCCCTTTCCTGCCCTGACTGCTGATCTCTCCTCTTTGTCTCTGTGCAGATTCCTGTCGGCCTCCAGTAACTACCCTCCTTTGCTTGGGCTCTTAAAGGTCAGGGTCTCCCCCTGCTTCTCCGTTATTTTTCATCACTTATGTTCCTTCGTTCTTCGTGTCTAATCCGTCTGAGTTCAAGATTCTGCAGTTACCTTCTCCCCCGCCCTGGACCCCCAGTGTAGGATCCACAGCGACGACTGGTGAAACTTGAGAAGGGAATATGAGTAGATTGTAGAAGGCAATCGTGACAACTCCTCGCCCCTGGGAGTAGCTGGCTAAATGAGACCTTGCAGGGGAAGAGGAGCGGGGGTCTCTACTGAGCATTTCCTACATGTGCCAGGTCCTGCACATGACCTCTCTCGACCTCACAGAGACCCCGGGAGATGGCGCTTCTCCACCCCCTCACCCATGGAAGCACACCGTGGCTGACGACGGTCAGGCAACCGCACCATAATTGTTCCGGACGCTCAGTTTGCCCTCAGAGCACAGAGTTTCCTGTTGCTTCTGCTGTGGTCCTGCCACGCTCGGTCCGCCTGGTGAAAACTGTTCCCTCCTGCTTTGATAGACACTCCCTGTTCCCCATGTGAAATGTAGCCTCCCTTCCATACTCAAGCTTCGTCTTCCTCATGAAGCTCTTCCAGTTTGCTGAGGAGTCTTCCACCCAGACTTACTCTCATCTTCACCAAGTGCCTTGAGCACCGATTTCACACATAAACCATATACTGCCTTATAGTATCGGTTAGCTTGCTCTTTGGCCAAGCGGGTTCCTGAACCGAATCTGAAGATGCCCCAAGGCGGGGAATTGTGTCTCCTGCATCTTTGAATCTTTCCAAGATGCTAGAATCATTTTGTGTATGTTCCGGTCGTTGGTTGGTGTTCTGATTTATTTTTGTTGTTCCTTCATGGGTTAGGTCTTTGTCATTCTATATCCATCCCTCTGCTGTAAGTATGAGGCAGGACAAGACAGATCCTCCCTTCGCGGCTTCACAAACTAGCAGGGAACGCAGGTGTCTCTTGCTGTCTACGTCATTTAGTCCCTCAGTTCAAAGGTGAGGTTGGGCAGAGAAGGATGCCAGGTTGTCTAAATCAGTTTGGATCCTGAAAGCTGGATAGTAGGAGCTCTCTCTCAGAGTTCAGATGGCTGGGGACTGCGCCTGAAGTTTTAACTGAATCGTACTCGGTTCTGAGTTTGGGGAGCACGGGCATGCTTACCTACTGCGGGTGCACACTGACTGCCGGGCTTAGATCAGGTGCCAGGGGTTCAGACTGAGAAGACGTAGCCCGAGATACAAGGATCTGTTCATTCACTCAACAGGCAGTTGTCGAGAGGTCGCTGTGGGTCAGGCGATGAGCCAGAGGCTAGAGGCACGCGCCTTCCCTGTCTTCCCCAAGCAGCAAGCAGTGGGAATCAGTGTGATAAATACAAAGAGAAAACACATGCTATCAGGAAGCAGACTGTGGGCAGGTTGGGAAGTGACCAGAGAACATCCCCGGAGGATGGGGAAGTTCCTGGGGTGCCTGGGGTTCACACCAGGCACCGTTGGATGCACTTGACCCGTGTAAATGAACAAGTGTGCCAAAGGCCCTTGCCTCCCCGAAGCTTACGTTTGAGAAAATCTGCCAGTGCTGAAGGAGGCAGTGGTGTTGGGGCTATTTGTGGGGGGGGGGCCGGGTAACACCTGGGTGTTGTGGTGTGGAAAGGTGGATTCCATTTGGAGGGGCCACACCCACTGCTTTCTTTCTTTAATTTATTATTTATTTTTTTAATGTTTGTTTTTGAGAGAGAGAGAGAGAGGAAGGGAGGGGCAGAGAGAGAGGGAGACACAGAATCCGAAGCAGGCTCTAGGCGCTGAGCTGTCAGCACACAGCCCGTTGCGGGGCTTGAACTCGTGAACACGAGATCTTGACCTGAGCCGAGGTCGGACACCCAACCCACTGAGCCACCCAGGCGCCCCTCCACCGCCTTCCCTGAGATGTTCCTGTAACAGAAACCCCAGAACAGTCCCGTCTGATCAGACTATTTTAATGGAAGCTTCTTCTCCACGCTTGCTGAGGATTTGCCCTCCTAGACGAGGTGCTCGGTTGGTGGGGGTGGGGGCGTGTCTTAGTGCCCATCAGAAGGATGGAGGGAAGGCGGCAAGGGGGTTTGCCATTTGGAGGGTAGACACGATCGTTACCCTCTGCGCGGGGGAGGGGTCACCCACAGACCCAAGGGACCCAGGGACCCCTGGTTAAAGCTCCGAGGACCCAAATGAGCTAAATCCCTGGGCCCATCGACCGCCCCTTGGCCACTCCCTGGGGCCCCATGTGGAGCCGAGAGAGGTGACTCCTGCCTCGGTTCTGCTGGAGGCCACGCGGGGGTCTGACGCCCTGTGCTTCTCTCGTTTCAGACTGTTCTGCCATGACCACAGCGCGGTACCGGCCCACGTGGGACCTGGCCCTCGATCCGCTGGTGTCGTGCAAGCTGTGTCTCGGGGAGTACCCGGTGGAGCAGATGACCACCATCGCCCAGTGCCAGTGCATATTCTGTACTCTGGTTGGTCCTTCCGGAGAAAACCACTATTGGAAGGAATTTCGGGAGGAGGCCTCCGCTTTTCGGTTTTAGCGGCCCCCGGCAAATCTCTGACCCCACCCTTGCCAGCGACCGAGTCTGTCACGCGGTTGCTGAAGGAATCCTCCTTCAAATCAGTCGGGCACCCGGGTAGATGGCCGTCACAGGTGCTCGTGATCCAAAAGTGATCAAACAGAATTTTAGAAGCTAGTGATGATGCAATTTAGAAGACCTGATCACGGCGCGTGCTCGCCTTTCCAGAAGGGAAAAGCTTCACCTTACCTCATTTTTTAGTTTTTTTTTTTTTTTAAGTTTATTTATTTATTTTGAGAGAGAGAGCGTGCGAGCAGGAGTGCAGGAGGGGCAGAGCGAGAGGGAGAGGGAGGGTCCATACTGCCAACTCAGAGCCCGATGCGGGGCTCGAACTCACTAACTGCGAGATCAGGACCTGAGCGGAAATCAAGAGTCAGACGCTTAATTGACCGAGCCCCCCAGGCGCCCCTACCGTTCCTCATTTTAAATTGAATTGTACAGTTCTGTGCTTGAGGTTACAAGAGTGCTGACCTAGTGATCGTGCACAGGTTGAATATTCAGCTATTCGCGTCACCTTTCGCTGGTGTGGTGTTAGAGGGGATGTTGACATCCCGTTTAAATTTCCGCAGATTGTCTCCAGCACTATTTGGGGGCCAGATGATCTGCTGGTAGTGATTATAGGGACCTCTCTTTCCATCAGGCCTAACTCAGACCCAGCATCTGACCCTTCGGAAAGGGAAAATGAGAGTGTAGGGGTTTATTTTCAGATCATCTTAATTGAATTCTACTTGATGGTTCTTCCCATTCAAGGGGGGGGGGGTGAAAGTCCAGAAAAGAAAAAAAGAACTGTTTTCTTCCAACTATAAGAAACCAACGAAGTTGCTTCTGAATTTAACCGCGTTATAAATGGACCATCTGGGTGGCCTGCCTGTGTATGTTTCAGATGTCTAGGTTAGTACGGGGCACCAGCTGGCTGTCCCTGGCCTTCTGCAGGAGATGTGATCTTCCTTCCTGGCCACGCTTCACAGGCCTTATTTCGCTTGTCTCCTGATGTCCCTGGGGCACCGGCACCTTCAATGTTACCATCTCCGTTTCACAGAGGGGGAGATGAGCTCGGCAAACATTTATGTCTCCATCTTCTGACTTGGGCTTGAACCAGCCGCTGGCTTTCCGAGGGGCTGGAACCCCCGGATTTACTCAGGACTCATCATCAGTAATCGCTAAAGGGTCGCTGGCCTAAACTGCAGTGAGTCTGCGTTGGTGTTGACGTGCGAGAAGTGTGTATCGTTAAAGCCTCAGGAAAGTCACTTCAACCAGGGGGACGGGAAATTGCTTTTGACCTTTTCCTGAAATGGCGAAGGATGGGAGGGAGGGGGACGCGGGAGGGGCGGACTGACAGACCTCCAGCCGCTTACTGCAGCGTGTTGGACTCCTTTTCATTTCTAGGGGAAACGCCAGGATGGGGGAGAAAGTCTGGGTGGATTAGAGAATCCGCTTTGTGGACATCGCCTCCGTCTTGGCGGAAGCAAAGTCTTCCTCTGTCTCCACCAGTGGAGTCCAGTCCCCTCTGCCCTGCGCCTCTGGGCGGCTTTGCTGTGTCTCCGTCACCTGCTCCTTCCCTGGCCTTTTACCCGCTTTCGCTGCTGCTGTTTGGGGTTTCTGTTCGTAGAGAATTGTAGGAAAAACAAGCAACTCTAATTCACATCAAATGCTTAATGTAAGCCAGGGGACTTTGAAAGGGGGAAAATAGCTCTGTTCCCTCAAAGACGGGGTACCTGCAGCTCTCGGAGATGGCGTGACAGCAGAGATGTTTTTTTCACCCCCAGGTATTAAAAATTAAAATGTTGAGAACAGTTCCGCTCGTTTCTGCAGCGTGAATAGGGGAAGCAGGTGCGTGTTGACCGACCGAGAGTGGGGCAGGTGCCCACGCCCCATTTCTTCCCGGTGTGGGGCCTCACGTCACCCCAACCCACCGCCACGGCCACAGCCAGGGAGTTGTGATGTCCCGGGGGACAGACGTGGGGATGTGGGAAAGAGCGAAGAGAGAAAATTGTGCGAGACCAGAGGACGCCCTCTTAATAAATAATCACGGAAGAGTTACACTTAAGTTCTGAGGTACATTGATTTTGAGGAGGAAAGGGTTCATGGGGAAACTGACTCTACAGTCTGGCGTCTCTGCCTTGAAATTCAGGCTCTGTTTCCGACCTCGTAGGCCTCTTCGCCACATCCGTATATGCTGTTCCCCAGGAGTTAATGGTGGAGCCCATCCCGGAGCGGTATGAGACTCGTGGTCTGTGTAGTTGATGCTCTTCCTACAGTGGCCAAACGATGGCAAACTGTGGCACACAGAAAAGTTGGCCTGACTGGAAGAAGGTCAAAAAGCAATTTTGACTGGTCAAAAGCAATTTCCTGTCCTCCTGTCCCACTACTCTGGACCCCACGCTTTCTGCCTCCTGTGTGGCCGTGGCCGGGCGTGGGAGGTGGATAACCCAAGGCTGCCCTCAGAGCACCCACTTTCCAGGCAGGTAGCACATTGCTCGTCTCCCCCTACGTCTACACTGCCGATTTCCGGTCGGGAGCCCCTCCAGGCCCCACCGGCTATGTCACCTGTTATGCTTTAGAAAGCAGTGGAAACCCCAGCAAAACCCTCCCCGTCTGGCCCCATCACACCATGACACCCCCACTTTTGCATGCCTGCCGTGATGGCTCTGTCCACACTCACGTGTCCTTCAATAGCTAGTTCAAGTGACCCGCTCTGTAGTTGAGACTCTTCTTGAGTGGAAATGCCACCGTGCAGTTGGGTCCCTCCCTTTTATCCAGCCTCAAAGCTCCGTTCCTGACTCTCTCTGTCCACTTCCTCTATTCCTACGCTCAATGGTTCCAAACTGTCGGAAGCTTCCAGCTCCTGTTATTTTCTGGTTCCTTTCGTCCAACTGTGTTGTCGCGATATCTGCTTACCTACACCCTCCACTAGAGGAGCAGGGATTTGGTTTTGTGTCATTGTCCACAGAGTGGAGCTCACACAAAATGTTTGTTGCTGGAACGGCAGGCAGCTTGGGTTCTAAAATGGCTCAGGTGTTTCTCTGACTGTTCTCTTGTTCGCTGTCACAACTACTCTTGCTCGGATCCTGCCTCTCCTTCTCTGAGACGAGTCTGAGAAATGTTAGTGTCTTCAGAGTTAGAGGAAGCTACCTCTGGCTCGCCCCAGGGTAGGAGCGAATCCTGGGAAGTAGTTTTCAAAGGGTCCTGCAGTTCAGGGTCTCTATTCAAACCAGAGTCTACAGGGGAGACTGAAACCATGTGAAGTGGTTGAACACAGGCCTGCTCTGCCAGTATAGTGTTTGGGGGCCACGAGCCCGGTGGATTATCTCTGTCCCAAGTGCTCTGAGCACCCTGGGCCTCTGAGGGGCACAGACTCCCGGCCTCTTCTCCGTGGGCTGGGGGCTCCGTGGTGTAGAGGGCCTCTTCCTAGTCTGGGGTCTCTAGATGGGAAAAGGCACACTTGCAGGCTGAGGTGCCTTGGGGCCCAGGGCTGAGAATGGACCAGAGGGCTGGGGCTTCCAGCTGCCAAGGTGACAGGCATGTGGACACGTAGCTCTGCAAGGCCTTTCTGTGTCGATGTGGCCCACATGCTTCCTGATCTGCATTGCCTCAAGGCGTCACCCAGACCCCTCGGATTCTCTGTCCACGCCGCTCACAGGCATGCCAGTGTGGTTTTTGTTGTAGGGTCCCCCTGAAGCTCTACCTGGTGGATAGAAAAGGATAGGGAATAACATTTGTTAACTGCTGGTGACTTACCACATACACCTGTCATAAAACCCTGTGACGTGGGCAGAATTCTCCCATCTCACGAGGGGCCACTGCAGCCCAGAAAGACGAAAAGGCCTGTTTAGACTGGCCACTTGCACCCAGACGTGATGCTTATCCACCAGCGGCCCCTAAGACGACGCCGACTCCTGGCGCCTGCTTTTCTGGGGAACTTCGCACAGGGCTAGAGGGCCGCTCTGGACTCATCCGCGTGCTGCCCTCTAGGTCATACATCCCTGGATCCTGGCACCTTCCAACCCAGAACGGGCACTCGGAGCCTGCTTTCTCTGTCTCCGTCTTGTGTAGTTGACTCTCCATCCCCAGGCCCGCCTCTGTGTTCGCATCCAGGAGACCCTTCCAGGTCTGTGGCAGGTGGGGTCCTGGGCAAGGTGCCCGGATGGATCCACCCACCCATCTTCCCGGCCCCTTCTTATCTGAGGTAAAGAACAAACAAACCGTTGGTATCGCCATTTGATGGAATCATCCTCAGTGGTGTGGACAGAGGAGACCGCGTGGCCTGAAGAGGTGGGATGAGCGGCCTCTCCCTCTACTGGAATGAGCCCTCAGGCATCCCCAGCTCTGAGCAGTTGCACCGCTTGGGTCCTCAGAGTCATATACGTGCACCCCCTTCTCTCACAGGCCTTTACCCCACACACGCGTGATCCCAGAGCCGCACTTAGAAGCATGCGGACTCCCTTTGGCAGACGTCCCCCCCCCCCGGGGCTCATCTGTTCTTGCACGGTTTTGGCTTCTAGACTTTGCTCCGGGGTGAATCTGAATTTGTTGAGTGGATGGCATGCTGGCCTCTTAGTGTTCCCACCTCTAGTGTACGTGTTAACCCCATCCCACCAGACACCTCTGACCTGCCTTCTTTGTGAGGAAGGTGAGGTTTGGTCACTCAGTTTTGCCCCTCTGTGGCTTTGGTTTTTCACATTCAGCAGGTAGAAAGCGTCGTCCACACTTGCTGTTTCCCTTGCAGCTTATTTCCAGGTGTGGTGGGAGGAGGGTGTGACCTCTAGGGAGGAGGCTGTGCTTCCCGGAGGAGGATGTGCTCCCTGGAGGAGGGTGTGCTCCCCAGAGGAGGGTGTGACCTCTAGGGAGGAGGCTGTGCTCCCTGGGGAGGAGGGTGTGCTCCCCAGATGAGG